CCCCTGCAGCCGGGAGATGCTCTCCTGCGCACCAGCCCAGAACGGTGGCGAATGTCCTCCGAGAGCTGGTGGAGAAGCAGCAGCTTTCTGAAGAAACCATGAGTTTGCTGCAGGCCCAGTTTTCAGGTACTGCTGGGGGCGTTTGCTAAGCCAGAGTGCTTCAGTCTGTGCTCCCTCGCCCCAGTTTTATGTATTTGTTAATGGTATCGGTAATCCTCAGCTGTTAGACTCCTAGGTCCGATGCTGTAGTGCAAAGGCTTTGCGATTTGTAGGTCTGGAACGCAACAACGAATCCTGCAAAGAACTGAAATCTCCCTGAAAAATTGAATGACTATAGTGCTCAGGTCAGACCTGTAACCAAGGCTGTTAAGTCAAACTGTGCCACCATTCAGCTGATGGATGACTCAGGAATAGAGTATATTTAACTAGGAAAACTTTGTTTTTTGTGCTGTCCAGAAGCGAGCTCTGTTAACATTAATAATGTAACTTGAAGAAGCCATTTCAAATTGTAGAGTCAACAGTAAGTTAACGGCTTCTCTCCTGTTATGTCAATTTTTAAGCAGCACCCACATGTAAGACCCAGTCTTTACTCAAAACCATGGAATGAGATTAGATGTGAAAAGAGGGGAAAGACGTGTTGGGGACTTGGCCTCAGACAGTGCGGTAGGGCACACACTCCCTGGCCGCTGCCTGTCGCTGGGAAGAGGGGAGGCACGATAGTATTGCTGAGCTCTACGCTTCACGCCAGACTTCAGGACTGAGTGGTCCCAGAGGCCGCCCTGTTGCCTTGTATTCTGCAATGTGTTTGTATTATGCATCACTCAGTTAAGTTACCAGCTATTTATTTGCTTCACTAAAGCTGACCTCTTTTTTTTTTTTTTTTAAAGCAGATTTGCCTTGTGAGTTGCACAGCTGGAGGCAGATGGCAGAATACTCACCAGAAATGAGGCAATTTGCTTGTGTTCTCCACCTCTACCATATTAAGGCCTATGATTATCTGCGGAGGATTTTTCCTCTCCCTCATCCTTACAGTCTGACAAAGCAAGTTTTTATTTGTTCATTCATTCTGAATTCCAGGTACTCATGTAGAAATAGGTGTAACAGATCTGAAAACATTCAGTGGTAGTAGTTTTTCCCTGCTTTGTTTTGGTAACAAAAGCAGAGTCAGAAGCAAATGTCAAGAAATATTGATACCCCTCATCTCAGAGAACTGGTCTGTGTTCATGCATGTGGGTCACAGCATGGGAATAACACATTCCTCACAGTAACTATTTTAGAGTAAGTGTGGAGTTTGTTAAGTATTCCCAGATGAGTATGGGTGTGAAAAAAAGCTACGTTTCAGAGCCTCAGCTGCTGTAGGGTCTATATGTGGTTTACTTCGCTGGGGAGGAAGGAGGAATACAAAATAGCAGAGGTGCTTTACCAGGTCAGCACATGCTCTTGCCCTGTGATGTGTGGTGTAGACTTGTGAGAGGGGAGGGATGAGCCAAATAGTGGAAGGAAGGACAAATACAAGGTCACCTAGAAAGAAGCAGCAGGAGGCAGTATAAGGGAGCACTTGCAGTACTCCACCAACAGCCAAAAACTCCACCAACAGCCAAAACCAAGTGAGGAGAGGTGTGCAGAAATAAGTGTCAGTAAAGGGAATCAAACCCCACAGGACTAGACATGGAAAACTTAGGGACAATCTTCTGGAAAAGGGAGAAGTAAGGAAGGGAGCATGAGAAAGTAAAGGACTGCATAAAACAGTTAGACTAGAGCTTTGGTTTTTCTCACCTTGCCCCAAAAGGACTCAGGGAAGCTAGTGAATCTTGACAAGTGTCTGTTTCAAAGTTATAGAAGGGAGATATTTATTGCGTAACTCAGTTGCATAACCCATTGAAAGCAGTTATGTAGCACCTGAAGTGCCGTCAGACCTGTTAACAAGGAGCAAAGTTGTAACAGCACACAAAACAAAAGCTGAAGAAACTCTCCCCCTACAGGTTGTGAGTCTCAAACTCCTGTAGTGCTGCTGGAGGATGCCCAACAGATCCACACATTGTCCCTACCAGCCTGTGGGGGTTTCACACAGCTTCCTCCAAAGAACCTGCTTGAAAGGGTGCCAGGAAGTAGTGGACAGAGAGTGTATTGAGGAGAGTAGCATTCCACACAGGGTGCCAAGGCTTTCACATCTTCCAAACTGGATTACAGTGTGGAGAAAGCCAATTGGGAAGGAGAGCAGCCTGGTGGTGCTGGCCCTCTTCATAGCCTGAGTCATACTTCTGTGTTTGGTTTAATTTTTTTTCCTTTTGTCCTGATCTCCTGTACATTGGAGAGGTAGGAAGCTGCTTTGTTACTTCCCTCTACGGTCAGTACATTTGTTTGGCTCCCCATCACTAGAGTGCGAGAAAAGCAACTCAGACTCTATGCATTAAGAAAGGCAGGGCTGCTTGCTTTATACTGTTAGCCTGCTCTACAGCTCCAGACACGGCTGACCATGTCCTAAGTTGTAAAAGGTGCTGACTGTTGCTTCAGCTTTCTCAGAATCACATCTCCTAATCCCATCCTCCCTTTTTTTCCAGTTGGCTCTCTAATAATGAGGCTGCTGCAGGCTTCAGCAACAACATTTTTCTCCGCCTTCAGGAAAAGGTGGAAAGAGGGGAACAGGCCTACCGCTACTGTGCCCTGATGGTACAAGACATGTCCCTGCAGAAGCAGCGGGAGTGGGACCTGCAGACCCAACGCCTTACAGGCTTTGTTGACTTGGGAGCAGGTGTCCTTGATGCCGACGAAGCTCCACTGGCCTCAGAAGCGATAATCCTCATGGCAGTTGGCATCTCAAGTCCCTGGACAGCTCCACTTGGCTACTTCTTTGTGAACAGCACGACCGGCCACTTACTTGCTCAGCTGCTTCGTCAGACCATCAACAAGCTGAACAACATTGGCATCACAGTGCTGTCTGTGACGTCAGGTGCCACCGCTCGTGGTGCTGAGACTGCCAGAGCTCTGGGGATCAGAACAGATCCTGAAAGGATTCAGTGCACTTTCCAGCATCCGCCCGGCTCTGCTCACAGCATCACATACTTCTTTGACATTTGCCATGCCCTCCAGCTGATTAGGAATGCTCTGCAATGGTTCCAGAAGATAGAGTGTCTCAGTGACACCGTGTGGTGGCAGCATGTGGTGGACCTGGCAGTTTTGCAGGAGCAGAGGGTATTAGAGCCATGCAGTCCCAAGTCAGGCAGACCTGGGAGTGAGGAGAGTTACCACCTGAAGGTCAACCTTGCTACCCTGTTGTTCAGTGAGGGTGTTGCTGATGCGCTGGAACACCTCCAGGAGCTGGGCCTGGCCTCATTCCAGAACTGCAGTGGTACTGTCAAGTTCGTGCGTTTGATGAGCAGTCTGTGTGACATATTTCATGGCAGAGGTCCCTACAGAAGGGGAACGGAGGTGCCTTTGCTAGCTGGAAACTACACCAAAATAAGCCACCTCTTTAATGAGGCAAAGAGCTTCTTCGTCACCTTAACAGACTCTACGGGGAGGTACATTATTAAGAGCAAACGCAAACTAGGGTTTTTGAGTTTCTTGCTCAATGCTGAAAGCCTCAAGTGGCTTTATGCCAACTATGTGTGTCCAGAAGGCACTCCTTCCCACCACCTCCTGACCTACGCCTTCAGCCTTGACCCACTGGAGCTGTTTCTCGGGGCCCTCCAGCAAGCCTGTGGCAGCAGCGGGAGCCCCACCTGCACTGTGTTCCAGGCTGCTTATCACAAACTGCTGGCCAGCTGCAGCCTGGCACCAGGCTCACGGCACAGCAGTGGCTCAGGCAGTATGAGCTCCTTGGACATAGCCCTGTCTCGTAGGAGAGATCTGACCCTCGGCAGTGTTCGTGCTCAGTATAACCCAGCTTGTGGCAGAATGCTGGCAACAGAGCACCCCTATTGTGCAGGCCTTCTTTTGCACAGCTCTGCACTGAGTAACGCGCTGACGGACCTATCACTGCATGTGCAGAGTGTCACCTGCACCGCAGGCTTCGTTGCTGAGCAGTTAGCCTCTGACTTGCAATGTGAGGCTTGTCTTGCTTCTCTCTTTGAGTCAGATGAGAGCAGGGTAAGATGCGGGTCAGTGCTCTACATAAAAAAGTTAGGTGGTGTGAGTCTGCCCTCAGCAAGTGTGTACCACATAACAAGCATTTCGGAACAAGTCCTAAACCGGTATGGCAAAGTAGGAGATGACAACAAAACCAGCAAGCTATGGCATTTGTCTCTAGAACAGAAAGTCTTCCAGGAGCTTCTGGGAGAAAGTCCCTTCTTCCCCACTCTCACAAACCATTTATTTGATGGGGAGTTGTGTGTGAACAATCACTACACAATCTTAGTAAAGGAAATAACACGATGTTACTTAAACATCAGAACAAACCATGCCAAACACCTGACCTTGAAATACCATTGTGGAAGGAAGGCACAGACTGAAGGGAAAACATCTGTTTCCATCACCACTGGGTAGCTGTCAGTCAAGTCAAACTCATGCAGGGTCATAAGTGCTCATTGCTCTTCCAAGGATTGCTGTCCCCTACTGAGGCTCAGTGATGGCCAGATCTAGGCAACACATGCAGGGAAATTATGTGGTGTCTTCCTGTGATTTGGCTGGCAAAACTGGTGTGATAGTGATTTGTTGAGCCACTGCAAGCTGTCTGATCAGTTTGGAAGTTCATCTGATCCTGGGAAGGTGGGAGGGGACACTGCAGCGTGTCCTCTGGAGATGCTGGGTGGCTTAGTGCTGAGTGCTCTTGCAAGCAAAAAAATTGATGTATCTTCCATGTAGTTGTAGGGGGATCATGTATGCTGGCAATTTCGCCAAAGCAGATCTGCTTTAAAAAAGTTGAGGCAAGTAAGCTTGCAGGAAAATAAAAACATGAAAAGAAAATGGCATTCAAGTTGTACACAAGCTCTAATCTCCACTCCTACGTCTCTCATCAAACAGCTAAACAAGCTATTTTAAGTCTCAATCCCCTGGAGGGGGGCCTACAATATCAAACTGCACCCCTAAAGCCCAATGTTTCACAAGCAAGGTAGTGGATACTGAGCAGAGGCTGTTGTCCACAAACATGAGATGGCAGCGCTGAGGCTGTGACCAGGCTATTGGACTCAGCAGCACCCAGGGGCACAAACACCCTCCTCTCTGGGCTGGAGCTGCAGTCACCAGCATACGGGTGTGCTGTGGCAGGGAAGTGTTTCAGGTCCCATTACATGGCCCCGTTAGGTCAGCCACTGAGCTGTGCCAGATGTGGCCCCCATCCTCCCAGAGTTGGTGTGTGTCCTACAGCCCAGGGCACAAGGCAGTCTCCTTTTCAGATGTTGTTTCCACTGATTACTTAAATCACAGATTTGATGCCACCAAGTAGGACAGGCTTCTTCAGTCAGTTCATTTCCATAGCAAGGAAGCTGCCTTGGTATGAAGTGCTTTGCCTGGAATGACAAAGCTTAGCCTAACTGCTGCTAAATGGCTTCCCTTTGCCATGCTGAACAGCAGTTGCATCCAGAGAGATGGAAGGCATTTGTTTCCCACTAAACTCTGGCTGTTCAGTTACTTTTTTAGCTGCATGTTGGAGATGGGATAAAAAACGGTGATCTACCGCGTCCCAGGGCAGGAATAGTGTTCAGGGTGCCATTCTGCCTACCAGTGACTTGACAAAACCATCCCTGGTCAGTTTGGGTTCTTCTTCCTCCCCTTAGTCCTACTGACTCATGGTGGGAGCAGAGCTGCTGCACTCCATTCCTTAAGCTCTGCTTCAAGAGCAGCAGGACCACAGAACTTCATGTGTTCTCTACTGGGAGTAGCAAACCAAAACCCTCTAGACTTTTTTTTCCAGTCCAATTACCTATGCAAAAAGCCATGTTGGAGCATTCACTGCCATGGAGCCATTCCAGCTACAAGAGACTCTTCAGGAAACTATTTCCCTGCCATATATACGTGATTTTTAGGACAAACAGCAAAATGCTGTTGAAACTGCAGTGGTAGATTGGTTGCACTCATGTAGTGCTGTAACACTTGCATTGCCTAAACTTCCAGCCCCCATATAAGCTGAGCTGTAGGGAACAGGCACTTCCTTGCTGTGCATTTTTTTCAGTTGGACATGAGCTTGCTGCCACTTCCTGTTTTCATCTGAGGGAGCTCATCTTGCTCAATTCATACTGTGCCTCCTACCAAACGGGAAGCTCTTGCATGAATATCCACGTGAAGTTGTGGATGTGGCAGGCATGTTCACAACCATCTCTGAATATCTCATGGGGTTTTGTGCAGTTGCTGAACTGAGGTGGACACCACAAGGAAACAGTGCATTGCATCCTGCTAACAAGCAGTCTAAAGCTCTCAACAAAGCTTTGCCTCAAAGTTTTGCCTGGGGTCCTCAAAAAGCTCTATGTAGCACCCTGCTGTCTTCAAGGGCACTGCAGAATGGCCTTGTATGTTTTCCTGCTCAATCTGAGCCTAAAACTCTTGTCCAGCCAGTGCACGTGGGGAAAATAAAAAGCATGCTTTCTCATTAAAGAGTTTAAAAGGAATTGAGAAATTATCATGTGGGCTCAACTATCTGGTGCTGGCTTGGTTGACACATTTTGGCCCTTTATGAACCATGCCACAGTGTGCCATGAATTGCCACGCATGACAGTACACCAGTAACCAAGGGTTTATCTCTGATAGGATTTGATCTCATACTGAAAATCCAAGCCAGTAATTGCATCAGAAGTGGGCCTACCGTTAACAGATTTATTTTGATATTTCAGTGAAAATCTTCTGTGTGTATTTACCAGTGCTGAAGGAAAGGAGCGCAAAAGGAAATCGTATTTACAGAATAGTATAAATGTTTATTTTTCTTTGTGATTTATCTGACTGCTTTATTTGTACAATATAGAAAAGTGTATTCTTTGAATAGGTCTAGTAAATATAAATTTAATTTTCCTGCTTTCAGATGCAAACAGAACTAGACAATGAACCCTTGCCCCATTCCCAATTATTTTTATGTAACTGGATGAACTTGACTGTAAATCTTGTCTAGCAGTTTGATGCAAATGGCTAAGGAAGTACAAAAAACAATTCACACATTCTACCCCAGGGAGAGGGGAGAGAGGACTCCAAGCTTAATATTAGAGACAGCTTGTTCAAAACAAAATAGAAGAACTAAGAGCATTTGATTGCACCTTCAAAGTCTTTACAAGCAAAATATTCTCAAGCAATGCCATCATACATAATTACAACTGTAATCTAAATTTCACAGGTGTTTTTGCACACTGTATATAAATACACATCACAAAAGGTGCAGTTTAGAGTAAGACAGAATATATACAAAATTAACGTATGTGAAGTCTAAACAAAAGAAGGCATATTGCAATCTGTTTGAAAAATAACGTAAGTAGGTATTACTTTATTCACTTACACTAATTTACATTTATACAAATCTTACTGGGCATACTATATTAGGTCACTAAAAGTAAACTGAGTATCTGCACTATCTACATGTAAAGTTACTGCACTGATTTTTTTAGTAAATCCAAGCCCTAATTATGAAAAAAAATGGCATTTACTTACATGACAGGTGGATTCCCTTTTCAGAGATTTGCACAAATATACCTGCTATTTATGCTCAGGGAGATGTTAATCACAGTCAGGGCCCTTCAGACAGTGAATGACAGGTCAAACCTTGTCTGCAATTGCCACTCAGTGGGCCCACTGCTGGCCACCTCCCAGGCCCTTCGTGCCCCTGAGGCATTTCAAGGAGGCACCAGAGAAGGGTCAAGGAGAAAGGGCCTTCTGCTCAGTGCACAGGACTGCAGGGTGAAGACAGGAGTGAAATCATCCTCCCATCCTATTGCCATCACACACGTAGGCACTTCGCTCTGCTGCTGGTTTGCCTAACCCCTACCTTTTCCCAGCCTGGCCCTGCTAGAAAACCTGGAGGAATAGCTTTGCTGCATTTCTCTGTATTTACAGTTTTACATAAGGAATACAAAATCCCTTTTGGAAAAACCTAGCTAGTTCAGGCTGCAGTGAGACAGGTAATAAAAATGCCTGTGATTAAACATGGGTATTGACATTCATGGTAGGTAAATAACCTACCAGGTTAATTTTGCAAATGTGTTCCACTATCAAAAATGTGATCTGAGATTGCCTGTAACAAATACTGAAAAAATCCCCTGCCCTAGTCTATACACAGCTACAGTTGATTCCCCCTGTGCCCGCGCTTTGCATAAAAGGATCTGTGTGTCCGTTTTGGTAGCAATCCTGATTCTGTGCTAGCATCCTCTCTGATCACGGCTCTCACAATCATTCTAAACGCTGCTAAAAAAAACCCTTATGCCAAGTAAACTGCCAACATACAAAGCAGCAGCATCCTAAAGACATACAGCCAGACTGAACACGATCCCTACCTGCATTTGCAAGTCGATTTGGATGCAGATTGTCTTGAGTCCTCATTAAGACAACTGTGGTTCCACCGTTTCCTGTGACCTCAGCTTCTCAGACTTAAACACTTTTCCAGGGTTACAGCTCCATCCTAAAAAACACAACGAACTGCAGCTCTGCAGATAGGGCTCTCTATCTCCAGTGAGGAATTAGGCTGCTACAGACCTCTGAAAAACCAAGCTTCACCTAAGCAACAGCATGCACCCGCTGCACACTTAGGTAACACTGTACACTGGGCATACAGTCTGGCATTGTGGTATGGCTGCTCTTCCTCTCTTCAGAGAACAGGCCACAGTCTTAGCCTTTAAGTTCCAGCTTAAGAAACATCTGAGCTCTCAGCCACATCCTTATCAAAAAATTCCCATTAATTCCATTCACCTTTGAACTCCTTGGGCCCTGCTCCAGCAAGATTCTCCACCGCTTGCTCAATGCTAAATCTGCAAGCAGCCCCTCTGTATTATTGCCTGTGTATTTCACAGTGCTCCGTGCACTAAACGAACATGCTGTGTCAGGTCCTAAATACAAGTACTACCTTCCATTTAGATGCTCATTTTTACACACTTCCTTTCGGCACTATCTCGGATACACGGGATACCTCCTTATTATGGGCTTGTTGCCAAAAGCGTCACCTGGCCATTGACATCACCTGTGTTTTCCTGTACGCACAAAGTGATACAATTCCATACACTGTAAATAATATATATTATAATAATTTATATATGCCCTTCAGGCGATTATTCTGGGGGAAAGAGGAGAACACATCTAATTTTTAAGAAACCCAAGGTAAAAGCTGTACATCAGGAAGAAGAATTGACCTTTAGGTATTGTCTTAAGTAGAAGAGGATTTAGCTAAGATTTAAAAGGCTCTACATCTTGTTATAAAAGCTTTTCTTGTTTCAATCTTATGCAGGTCAATTTACAACAAGCACCAAATTAACAAATATTATTAAAACCTCTATGCCAAAGTGTCCCTGTGCCTTAAGTGTTCTGTTAGTCCGCTTCATTGTGGCTCGTGTGCACAAGTCAGCAGTTCATGGCGCAAGGGTCACTTTTGGACTTCCCTGCAGAGTTAATAACTCTCATCAAACAGCGTCCAAACTCCTCCAGGATCATGCGCTCTGCTGCAGCTTTTGACTTGCCCATCTTTTCCGCTTGCTCTGCCTGTGCGAGAAGGCATTCGCAGGTTGCATCAGCTACCTCCTTGGTTACAAATGTAAAGGGCAGCCTGAAACAGAGAAAGATCCATTCACTTCCAGCAAAAATGCACTATGCACCTAACTCCAGGGCTGGGCAACTTTTTAGTACAAGGACCAATGAGATTTCACATGTCCCATTGTTTCCAAGAGCCTTTAGACAACCAACAGGGAGCGAATAAGCCACAGCTGCAGTCAAATGACCTGGTGGGCCA